GCCTGTCATACCTGGCAATCCCGCCTATGCTGGTCCTTTGCACGAGATCGAGGCCTACCCATGTCATCGTTTCTCTCCCAGGTTCATCCCACGCTGGATGTGCCACTAAATGCGCACAGCGTGAGCTGCTTCATAGTGGGTCTTCTGGGGCTGCTGTACCTTGGTTCGTCGACCGCCTTCAACAGCATGGTCACTGCGTGCATTGTGTTACTCTATGCCTCGTACGTGGTGCCGATTGTCTGCTTGCTGTGGCGTGGTCGGAATAATCTCAAGCACGGTCCCTTCTGGCTGGGGAGACTCGGCTTGGTGTGTAATATTGTGGTTCTAGCATGGACCTTGTTCTGCCTGGTTATATATTCCTTCCCTTCGGTATATCCGGTTACCACGGGCAGTAAGCCACCCCCGAGCAACACTCCCTCATCCATTTGCCTTGAAATAACTACTAACTCGACGACTACTACTACTAGATATGAACTATGTTTCTGCAGTATATGGGGTAGTTGCAGTGCTGATTGCCCTGGATTGGGTGTTGCGGGGACGCCGGTCCTTCCGGGGACAGACGGCGCGACACATGGAGGCGGCGGAGGCGACTCTCACTCAAGCGGATTATAACCACTACTAGCTATATGTTCACTTCGATGTATCTATTGGCGTCAACATTCTGCTCAGTATAGATAATTCCAAGTCAGGGTCCCAGCAAAAGTACGGTCCAGATCATGATCGGCCCGCAACGTCGTAAGCCATCAGATGGACGCCATCGTGATTGGCCAACCGCGGGGCGGGTGCCTTGAAATGATGGCTCGTATCATTACTCTTTGCGCCCAGCTTTCTCCACGTCTGGCCATCCCCATCCACACTCTCGCCATCGCAATCTCCCCTTTCTCCCTCCTGGCCTGGTCCCTTCTTCTTTTTCTTTCTTTCTCCCCTTGCTTCCTCTCGAATCTGGAATCTATTCCAATGCTCCTATCCCCGTAAGGCACCATGCCGCTCCCCTTTCGGGACAACTCTTCCTCCGGCAGGAAATCCTCCCAGCAACAACGCTACACCCCCCTACATGAATCTATCCCCGAAGAGGTCCAAGATGACCGCCGCTACTCCGAAACCTTTACCCTCTCCGACCTCTCCGATCCAGACCTCGATGAGGACTCCCGCATAAAGCTCCGCCGCGTTGACAACGCCAAGAGGTCCAACGAGGCCTCCGCCTACGCTAACCGCCGTTCCACCGATGTCGAAGCATACCTGGATAGCATTACCGAGGCGGAACAAGAGCTACTGGCAGCGGCGAGACAGTACGAGCTCACTGATGACAGCGACGATGGAGATTACACCGTGAAGAAGAAGGGACATCACCGGAGAACTTCCTCTTTCCGGAGACATACCCCCCGCACCGGATGGCGGGCATACTATTATTCTCGATGGTTGTGGCGGACGCTGGTCGTTATTTTCGTCGCACTGGGTATGATGGTCTGGGCATTCTTGAATTTGGCTTGGTCGGAAGATGAGTTTGAACGGGTTCGTTTGGCATACTTGACTTAGTGGGTGTGATGCTGATGTCTGTAGGATATGATGCCGGCGGAGTCTTGGTTTCCTACCCCAAAGGGAGGCGCGCTCGAAGAATGGGCGGAGGATTATAGGAAGGCGGAGGCACTGGTCAGCCAGATGACCCTCATCGAGAAGATCAACATCACTACCGGCATTGGATGGCAAATGGGACTTTGTGTCGGGAATACAGGTATGTCTGGTTGAAGGCTACCGATGATGGTTACTAACTGCTCAGGCTCCGCCGATCTGGTCAAGTTTCCCTCGCTGTGTCTACAGGACGGTCCCCTCGGATTGCGTTACGCCGACCTCATCTCTGCCTTCCCTGCCGGTATTACAACAGGAGCGACCTGGAACCGAGATCTGATCCGACAGCGCGGTGCGGCTCTGGGAGAGGAGGCTCGCATAAAGGGCGTCAACGTGTTGCTGGGCCCGTCGATGGGCTCCCTCGGCATGATGCCAGCGGGCGGTCGCAATTGGGAGTCGTTTGGCTCGGACCCTGTGCTGCAGGGTGTCGCCGCGGCGGAGACCATTCGCGGCATCCAGAGCAACGGCGTCATGGCCACTGCCAAACATTACATTTTGAACGAGCAAGAACATTTTCGGCAGCCAAATGAGTGGGGAATCCCCTCAGCCATGTCGTCCAACGTCGGCGACCGTGCTTTGCACGAGGTGTTTGCCTGGCCGTTTGCCGAGAGTATCCGGGCTGATGTGGCCAGCGTCATGTGTGCGTACCAGATGGTGAACAACAGCCATGCTTGTGAGAACAGCAAGCTGCTGAACGGTATTCTGAAGGACGAGATGGGCTTCCAGGGATTCGTGCAGTCGGACTGGTTGGCCCAGCGGTCAGGTATCAACAGCGCCCTAGGGGGTCTGGACATGAGTATGCCGGGTGATGGACTCCACTGGGCGGACGGAAGGTCCTTGTGGGGACCGGAATTGACTCGCGCAGTGTTGAACACCTCTGTCCCCATGGACCGGTTGAACGACATGGTGACCCGCATTGTGGCTTCCTGGTACCATCTTGGCCAGGACTTGTGGCCTCGGCCTGCTCCGGACGGTGATGGCGGGCCTACCTTTTCCTCGTGGACCAACGATGAGGTCGGATGGCTGCACCAAGGGTCGCCGGATGACGAGGCCTACGGTATCGTGAACCGGTTTATTAATGCACAGGGCGAAGGCGAGAATGCACACTCCATCATTGCTCGCAAGGTGGCGGCGGAAGGCATCGTGATGGTGAAGAATGACCAGAACACACTGCCATTGTCCCGCCGGCCAGTGAGCCCATCCGGTGGTCCCTTTCGGGTGGGCGTGTATGGCGACGACGCCGGACCGGCTGGAGGACCCAACGCCTGCCCAGACCGGGGCTGCAACCAGGGTACTCTGGCCATGGGCTGGGGTAGTGGAACGGTAGAGTTTCCCTACCTGATCAGTCCTATCGACGCTCTGAATACCGCCTGGGCCACCGAGATCGACATGCACTCGTACATGCGGAATGCCGTGATGCCCGCCGATGCTGCCGACCGAGATCTATGTCTGGTGTTTGCGAACGCTGACTCCGGCGAGGGTTACATCTCTTCGGGTGGCATTAACGGCGACCGCAGCAACCTCTTTCTGCAAAAGGGCGGCGATTCGCTGATCAAGACGGTAGCCAACAACTGTGGCGGGCCGACTGTGGTGGTGGTGCACGCCGTGGGCCCGGTGGTCGTTGAGTCTTGGATTGACCTTCCGGGCGTCGCCGCCGTCCTGTTCGCGCATCTGCCCGGACAGGAAAGTGGCAACGCTCTGGTGGACGTGCTGTTCGGGGAGGTCGATGCCAGCGGCCGGCTGCCATACACGGTGGGCAAGAGGCTCGCCGACTACGGGCCGGGAGCGCAAGTGCTGTACGAGCCCAATGCACCGGTCCCCCAGGTGGACTTTACAGATGGTCTGTACATTGACCACCGTTATTTCGACCGCCACAATATCACTCCACGATTCGAGTTTGGCTATGGGTTGTCTTACGCTACGTTCGAGTTGGCCGAACTGCAGGTGAACGCCTTGCAGTCGAAGTCGCGGCTGCCTGCGTCGAGGCCTCCAGCCATGATTTCTCCCCCATCGTACGATCTTGAACCGCCGCGCAACGAATCATTCTTCTTCCCACCAGGATTCAACGTTATTAGCAAATATATCTATCCCTACCTGCCATCTCTAGATGGCACTGATCCCGCAAACTACACACACTACCCGATCGGCTACGACAAGCCGCGGACACCATCACAAGCCGGCGGTGGCTTGGGCGGCAACCCGTCTCTGTTCGAGGAGATGGCGAACGTGGAAGTGCAGGTCCGCAACACGGGACCCCGGTCTGGTCAGACCGTAGTGCAGATGTATGTCTCCTTCCCAGAGGAGGTGACCGAGGAGGGCGACTGGGTGGAGGTGCACGATCGGAGCCCTAGCAAGACAAAGATCGAGCGGGTGCCGGAGAAGATCGACTTTCCGGTGCGTGTGCTGCGGAACTTTACCAAGGTGGCCCTGGAGCCAGGTGAAGCGCAGACAGTGTCGATGAGTCTTAGTCGAAAGGATCTGAGCTATTGGAGTGTGCGGCAGCAGAATTGGGTGATGCCGGACGGAGATTTTGAGATTTGGGTAGGGCAGAGTTCGAGAAATCTCCCGTTGCGAGGATACTATTAGATTTGGAGTATTATTAGATTTTCATGTACATATAGATTTGCTATCAATGATTTTGAAGGAACTTGCAGATCCCAGATGCGCTTATAGTTGTATTCCAGGCTTTGGCCTACTGCTACTTCGTTTCTCTCCATGCTGAACCATCGTCAGTAAGCGGGGCACTTGGAAAGAGAAGACTGAACCCACCTGAACAAGCAACACATATTCCGGCATTATTATTACACCCTATCAACGAAGATACCACTTTCCTTATCACAACTAACATCTAACACTCTAAAATCGATGCAATAAAAAGGCCCTCACACAAGACCACCGACGGATACTCCACCGTCTTACGACACAAACACAGCGCAACTGCCATGACAAGCGCGAGAAAGCACAACTACCTACTCTACCCAAGCCTCACCGTGGGCTGCGGGGCAGTGCAACGCGCATCATCATCATGGTGAGAGCAAGCCCATTACACGGCTCTCGCCCCTAACCCTTTTCGGTTTAGGACGTGAAGTTGTGTGTCCTAGTATGATTCGTTCAATCTCTCTCTCCCCCCCCTGTTATAACTACATGAACTGATTGGTTTTTTCCACGGGGTTTCCTGCGCCCGCACTGCGCGCTTCGCACGCTCCCAAGTCGCGTCTATTGGACAGGAGTGCAAAAGTGATCCCAGCAGAGTGGGTCGGCGTGCGAGAACGGGAGACCAGGACGCGTCGAGGGAGATGCTCTGGAGTATATGAATGCCCTCGAAATAGGTTGTTGTAGATGTAGTTTCTTTAGGTCTTTATCACACTATTCGAGTCATTCTGGTCTTGGTACCTTTGCTCTTCTCACTGCTCTTTGGCTCTCGTTCTTTTCCCTTTCTTTGCATACCTACCATGTCAGGAATAAACGACGCCACCTTTTTCCTAACCGGTTTACAGTTCCTCGTTGAGATTGGCCTCTTCCGGGGAGGAAAGGAGAATTTCAACAAGGTCAAGGATCTTGTTGAGGATAAAGACACGACGGAGGATTCCGTCGGTGATTGGATTTACTGTCTGGATAGGCTGGAGAGGGACTGGGGTGTTCGTGGCCTCGCAACGGCGAAGAAGTTGAAGGAGTGTGCTCAGGAGTTGGTTCGTAAGATGCAACAGATCAGGGAAAAATATGGGAAATGTCGGGGCAGTAATTGGTTGGTCCTTAGATTGAATCCAAGGGTGTATTCGGATGGTAGCGAGTTGAAAGAGTTGGAGAGGAGGTTTGAGGTTCTTGTGGATAAGTTCAATGGGGTGTTTTATTTGTGGTTGTTGTTGTGCGTTGGGATTTTCATTCTCAGTTGTCTTGGTGGTGGTAATGGTGGTTTGGTATTTTCGGGGAGAAGGATATGCTGAGATGGGACAGGATGGGATGGGATAGGATGGGATAGGTGGATGATGGATGTGGAATACGTGAGGTGGACGGCGTGAATTTGGATGGGAGGAACTATTACTCACTGCTGATATTTTGGGAATGAGGAGCCATAGATAGCAGTTCAAATCCTTTTACTTGGTATTTATTGGTGACTTGACGGGAGGAAGAAATTGGGTCAGATATCTTGTTGTTCTTAGTGTGCTTGGTGTGATCGTCCATTTAAACCAGACTGCCAGTAATGAGAATGGATTTATCACGTTATTAAGTGGATCGAGGAGTAATACATAAGGTACAAGCCGGTTTCGACCCTTTAGAATGAGGTAGTTAGGGTTTCTTCAAGGAAGATATTCCACCATATAGAGTATCACATGGCATAGAATCAGCTATGCTAATTAGCTTTGATCCCACTGTCCCAACAGCACCTACAATAAGTCATCGAGTCTCTTCTACCGCTCAACATAACCATGAGCTCATATCCATCTCTGCAGCACCAAGTACATCCCCGCTGCGGGAATACCTCCCGACCCAACCCTACCCCGTCCAACTGCACCACCAACCCAGTGGAATACTTCTCCGGATGATCTCAATGACGGTCATATCAACAAGACTACCATAGATATTTGTATAAGAAAGCCCTATCCCAACTTATACTACCATTTTTCACACCACACTTCATCCCATCTCCAAAGACGCCAAACGAAGAAAACGAACAATGAACCTCCTAACCCTCCTCCTAACCGCCCTCACCCTCCTCCCCACCCCATCCTACACCCAAGAACCCTCCACCTCATCCTCCTCTTCCTCCGATGAAGACACCTCCTCCTCCACCTCCTCCTTCACCGTAACCGCCTACCGCTCCAACTCCCCAATCAACAACCTCGCCCTAACCATCTTCTCAGGCCGCTTCTACCTCGGCGGCCGCACCTCCTCCTACTGTCCACCCGGCGTCGCCTCCGAAGGCGAATGTCCCCCAGGAAACGAGACCATTATCATCGGTGATAATGGCCTGGTACGTACCCCATCCCCACCCCATCCCCATCCCCCAATCCAAACACCTAACTAACACCACCCCCTCCGGGGACCTCAACCACCAGTCCGTCTCCGTCCCCGGCGGCCAACAAATCTATATCCTCTCAACCGGCGCCCTCTCCTTCACAGCCCCACACTCCGCCTACATGCCCCCGGGCTCCTCAACCGGCCCATTCAGCTACACGCCCGGCACACCATACGGCAGCTGGAATTACACGGGCTCTCCGGGTGGGTTCATTGCTTGTCCTGTGAAAGGCGGAGGAGGTAGTAGTAGTAGTAGTGTGCCCGGTGGGTCGTCGAGTACGCCGAAGCCGAGTTCAACGCCTACGCCGAGCAAGCATTCTGGGACGCCTTCTTCGTCGTATGTAAGTCCGTCGGTGAGTCCGTCTGCGACTCCTGGGGCGGGAGGCGGTAGGTGGATTGTGTATGTCAATTGGAAGAATGCGACTGTGCCGGGGGGGAATGTTAATGAGTGTCTTGGGTTTGGGGCGAGGGCGTGGGGGAGGAATGCGAGTGTGGGGGCTTGGGAGTATATTTGATCTTTGTTTTTAATCTAAGGGGTGGGGTGGGGATTGTATTATGGTTGGGGTTCGAAAAGGGGATTAGTCAGTTTGTATAAGGGTTGGGATGGACGAGGATAGTGTGGTGGTGGTGGCGGTAGTTACTGGTGAGTTCATTGGTTTGTTTGTTTGTTGGTATTGAAAATGCATGCATTTATTTTGTTTATTCGGTTATATGGTGGTTCACGATAGGAATGATTTTCGTTAGGATGAAGTATGATAGTAATGTATCATGCATTTAACATGGCAAGAGTATTCGTGTGAAACCAATGTATTCATTCCATATTCCTCTGTCGTAATGCTCTCAACTACCCTTGACAGACCATCCTGTCTAATTCGTACAGCTATCAGACGGTGCTGATCCGAATGTTAGACTCCTTCCCAAAAGTGATTGCAGTCTGATTTGGAGAGCATGTGTCAGTCGACGATAGGTGCTAATAGGATCACTTGGGTTGATTAGCCGAGTGTGTAGAATCCCCACCAGCTGAGAACATTGGCCGATCTGTTCCCGCAGATCGTCTGCCAGCTTGTCGGTTTCTTCTTGCAGCCTATACTTCAATGCTGGCATGCCACCGGTCGAGGCACTTGTCGCTTCGAAGACTGGTAGAGGCATCTGGGCTACAACGCTCTCGTAAAGGGTCACAATGTGGGCAAGGGTCGTATAAGTCAGCATCAGAAGGGTTAGGCTGCGATTTTCCTCCTCCGCTTCCAGAAGTCTACCTACTACGTTAATGGAGTGTTCCGTCGTTCTCACTATTATGTCCACTTCTGGCCTGTAATTGGTGTAATGCTCAAGCATGTAAACAAACCCTGCGCAGCTTAAGGTGTCATTGGCTCCAGTAGGGTCCGCCGCGTTTTGAGGGTCCGGATTTGTGGGCTCTACTGTTTCCTCGCGTGACTTGTTGATGCATTCGGCATACCCTTGAAAGGGTCCACTATGATAGCCGTGCAGGTATTTGGAGTCTGAGCCGGCAGCTGGTCCGCTGGACAGGAGATACTCCGTTGGGTACTCGCTGTATGCATTTGACTGAATTGAAGTGCGAGCCTGGACTGGAGACTTCGTAGCACTTTCTGGATCCCACGAGGAATATAGTAGAGGTTCAGGCTGTTCTTCTGGCTCGTACTCGGAGGGTGTTTGGGCGAGTATTGATCTTTCGATTATTGGAGAAGAGAGATGGGAAGCAGGATGGTGGTTGATGAAATCAGCTGGGGCTGGAGTCGACAGAATATTGCTGCTGCTCTGCTCAGCGCAATGCTCTCGTCGTCTGCCTGGCTTGCATTCACCTGGAGGGTTCACGCAGTCGATGCTCCGCTTGATACAATGGGTGCAGTCACTTTCCTCCGTGTTATATCTCTGTCATTGTGATTAGTTCACGAATCGAACGAGAATATACAGGTGAAGTGATCTGACCATACCTTGAAACAACCGCAGTTGGGGCAGTGAGGTGGTGTCATGTCTGTAGTACTGGGGTTTAAACTAAATTCTGTTGAAATTAAATCAGGCAGGAGAATGTGATTCTGATCACTGTAGCAAGAGTTCGTCTCGCGGTCTTCTGTATCTTGACCAGTATATACGGTTGGTGTATAAGTGGAGAGAGAAGCATTTATACCACTTTTCAGCAGATGTCACAAGTGACTCTTCATGATCACTTACTTCTCGGTGATTGCCGAGAAATCCAAGCTGCTGGTGAGCTTCTTGCATTCACCAACTCCAAGCTCCTGAGAGAAACATAGAATGTTCTGGATATCTGCATCTTGATCGTTGAATATGAGAAATGCGGAATTGTGAATCAGATCAGCTTGCAAACAATAGAATATCTCCGTAGAATCAACGCACGAGCATCTTGACACGATTAGCATCCATATGGAAGATTACTCTGTGGTGAGAAAGTTGTGGGAATACAGGCAAGACAAAGCCATCTTCCTTCCTTGTCTAAGGTAGAGTGTGGTTAACTCCGCGGCTGCCTAATTGGGTTCGCATCATACCTACGTGTTACACAAAGTCTGCTCGAACATCAACACAATCGACCACCAGGGCACTTTCCAGGGGAATAATTGTCACCTTCTCCCATTCAGACGCTCCAGGCCCTCCCAATCTTTCAATCCACCGCCTGCATGTCCTCTTCTGCACAGCAGCAAGATCTCTCCGGAATGTCCCCAGACATCGAAAAAGCCAGAGAGCGCATCTCCCGCTACTCCAACCAGGAACGACTCCACGAGACCAAGCTGAAAGCAACCTTAGATGCATCTCTCCAATGGCTACCGGACGGCGGGAAAGAAGCCCTCGCTAGTGACATTCTAGACGCAACGTCTGATGATAAACTTCATGAGATCTTCTTCAATGTTCTCACCATCCTAGTCTGGCCAGGTAAGTGATCACTTCAGAGGATAATAGAACCAGTACCACTGACAAGACAAGCCATACTCCAGTCAGAAGCAAGCGATGTCAAAACATCCCCAGACCAGCTTAGTCCCTTGGCAATTGCCAACAAGGCACACAAGAAGATTGTCTGAAGCGTGATGGCTCCTACTGCGTTGTTACAAGGGCTATGGATGTAGAAACATGATATTCCGAGAAAGGCAGACCAGAGGGCTTTGTTAGTACCTATGTGCAGATAGCGGCGCGTCTTCCACCTCTATTTCAGCCTTTGCTTCCATTCCTGTGCAATACTTGCTACTTCGTGCCTCTTTTATCTTTATTTTTATCTTCACTTAAAGAGACATGTAAAAGCAGAAGACTGATTATTATCTAAAGAATAATATCGAAAATAATAATATAATAATAATTGATAATAAAAATTCTTGACTACATGTTGATTTCTACATGGTCCTAAGCTGCTGGAAACAGCGTCGCCTGCCTATAGGCTTCAGGCCACGCACCCGCTCGACCCAGCCTTTGCAAACATACTATGCCCGCCCCCTTGGTATATTGTTCATGAGTCCTTGTGGGCGCTTCGTAACTAGTCACCCACTACTAGCCACCCTTGACTCGCCTTGTACTCGCCCTCCATCCCCCTTACAAACGCTGACTTCTCGCCCATGAGTCAAAATAAGGGGCTCGTTGGCGCTACGCCAATTGCGCCCTGTGAATTGCGCCAACGATCCGCTCCTCTTGGCCCCTAGTGTGGCAGTGCTTAGTCTATATAGTATATTGGCTAACCTGAACTAGTAAGTAGTTATATGGCGGTGTGAATATGGAATCCCTGTCACCTTATTTTGCCACGTTTCTGCGTATTACAAGAAAACTCATAATTTCAGTGTATACCAGTAGCTACGGATATTTACATTAATCAATCAGGCTTCAATCCATGTATATGGTCCTGACTACCCTTATTTTTCCCAGGCGAGAAACATATCCAAGAGGCGGTGAATAGGTTCTGAAAGCCGGTAGATCTGGTGGGAGTAGAATAATAATGAAAATAGTAGTAAAGGCCCAATCATTTCACACGTCTCAAGCACTGCCACCGTACTTTCACGGAAGGGCGGGAAGGATAAATAACCCTGCCTTGTCCTTCCTAACACTACTTAGTATGTCTCCGCCAAACTGTGCAACCCTTACTAAGGTATGGCTTCCTCCAGTCCTCGCCTCAATGGCGCTTTTTTAGCTGCCAAGCAGGAATTTCTGATGTCGGTTGGCGACCCTGCCTTGTCCAAATCCATCTCTACAATAACTTCTATTGATGACATAAACGGGTTCCTTTTACAGCTCGAAGAAGCCCAGTCAAAGACTCATGGGCTTCGCGATCTACAGAGAATCAAGCCATTCCTTGACGGACTGGAACAATTTGCGGGGGTGATCGAGCAATTTGTCTCAATAAAGCCAGAAATTGGTGCCGTAATATGGGGGCCGATAAAGCTCTTGCTAAAGGTTGCAGACAACACCTTAGCGTCGTATGACGCGATTGTCAACACCATGGGCCTTATTGGAGAGAGACTTCCTTTCTTTCAACAGTATACAGACTTGTTCAAAGAAAGCGACAGAGTGAGGGATGTTCTGGTGTTGTTTTATCGCGACATCCTCGACTTCTACGCAATTGCTCTCAAATTCTTTAAAGCAAAGCGTGAGCGACAGTGAAAGTTGATACTTGGTTCAAGAACTAACATTATACTTATATTACAGACTGGAAAACTGTGTTCGGATTTGCCTGGCCAAGGCACAGAGAGAGAATTAATATTGTAGTTGACAATATAGAGCGACATTCTCTTCTATTGACAGCTAGTGTGAACTTTGAGCATATTCGTGAAGCGCATGACGCTCGAATTGAGGAATTCAGGAAGTGGGAAAAAACGTTCGAATTCCAGGAGGAACAGAGTTTAAGAGGAATCCAAACCGATATTTCACCCACGCTTTACGACGAGGAGTTAGATCGATTGCGAATGTCAACCTGTGCCAGAACAGGCAAATGGCTAGCTAAAGAAAAAACGCTGAATTACTGGTTCGACAAGAATAATTCAACCTCTAGATTGGTATGGCTTCACGGAGGCCCAGGAGAGGGTATGTTTCAATTCCCTGTTACAGTCAATATGCCATGCTAAGGAAACGCAAATGAATAGGCAAAACTTATCTATCATCTATGATCATCGAGAGAGCAATACAGTCTTCACACACGACGCTATTTGCATTCCTCAGCTACCGACAAGCAAGCGTAAAAACTATTTCAATCTTTCACTCGCTTATATTTCAGCTTGTCACGAGCGACGAAATCGACAAGACACTCAGACGAGACCTGCGGGCACGATTGCACGAGATATTCCTGTCCAGTCAGCGAAGTCTCAAGAGCAATACAAAATTTGTCTGTGAAACCCTATCCGAATTACTTAAATGTGTTGGACAGAGTCATATCATCATTGATGGGTTAGACGAAATCGTGGAGCTCGAGAGGGGGATCATCACGGGCGAACTTCTGAAAATACTTCAAGAGTGTCCCGAGGTTAGAATTTTGATCAGTAGCCGACATGAGGACGATCTTAGGATGGCTCTAAATGTCAGCAAATACAAAGCCATTCGGGCAGCTGACAATAACAGTGGGTGTATTCAAGCTTATGTGTCTATAACCACACAAGAATGGCTGGAGGAGACATCCTTCAACGAACTAGAGCGGACAGAAATCAATCGCTCGGTAGCTCGCTTATCTTCCAAGGCCAGAGGTACGCTGAGCTCCCTGAACTTCTCTTCCGATCTTGGCAATGTTAACATTATAGGCATGTTTCTCTACGCGAGGGTTGTGATGGACCATTTGAAAATGTGCCATAGCCTGGAAATGATCCAAAGAGAACTAGAGGTTCTCCCAGAAAATTTACATGAAGCGTATGCAAAGTTCTCATTCGCCGCACCTCGATGACTGATTTCATCTTAGATACGCCCGCGTTCTCCAACGCCTCAATGATCTTCATCCAACATCAAAAGACCTATGCCGACGAGCTTTGGGCTGGATTGGATGCTCTTCTATCCCCCTACAACTGCAGGAGCTTTCTTTTGCGCTCAGTATAATCCCTGGCTCCGAATCGAATCTTCTTGGCTCCCCGACCTCGATCAATGTCCTACGATTGTGTGGCCCTATTGTCGAGGTGTGTGGAAACTATGTTCAATTTGTGCATTTCACAGTGAAAGAGTTGGGAGCCCACATTCTTTTTCAAACACAGAGATGGCTAATATACCAGCAGATATCTCTTCAATCTGCCAACCGCGACTTTCGTGCAAAGCCTGGATGCAACTCTAGATATCGCCCTAACGGTCTTGACTTATCTTTCCCTCGATATATTCGATGTCGATATAAGCGAAGAGCAGATTTCGAGGAATATAATCACCGGGGCATATTGCTTACATTGGTTTGCTACGTTCCAGTTGCTAGAGATTTTGAACAGATCCCTCGAACTTCTCGATGGCCGGCCTCCCCCGGCAAAGCTCATTGATCTCCTGGAACGTTTTATCGAAGAACGCGAAAATCTTGATTTTGAGGGAGGCTCTAGTTCAGTAACTAAAAATGCCACATTTGAACCCCTGAAAGACTTGCCCCATATTCGCGACTTTCTTGGCCATTTTGTTGCACTCTGCCAACTTGACACTGGCACTTGGAAGCTCGAGTCCCCCTATGGTATGACACTATCCATCAAACTTTCATCCTCCGAAAGATACTCGCGGATATTGACTGGACTGGTTCAATGTTAGACCCTTTGAGCACCCAGCTACGGGTACCCCCATGGACAAAAAGAGACCCAACAACACTTTCGTTCACTTCATGTGTCCTTCACCAAAAGTTCGAACAGATTCTGTGCCATGGAAAAGAGCATATGGAGCGCTGTAACTGTGAAATCCTGCAAAGATTATATGGAACACGTTTGTTTAGATGCCACTACTCTCTGTGTCAATCCTGGAGAACTTCATTCGAGGCTGAAGTTGACAGGGAAAGTCACTGCAAAAACCACGACAGGCCTTTCACTTGCCCGTATCTCGGGTGTGAATTCAACACTCTTGGCTTTATCTCTGATTCGCAACTGCGCAGGCATCAAGCGCAATGCCATGCCACGGCGCCTCGGAAGCAAATATCCGGCATGGAGGACCCAGATCCGGATGAGCTTATACCTTTATTGTTTGATTTGATATCATTGGGTATGGTTAACGAGATCAAACGGCTCTCCACGCGAATTTCACAGCTGGACCCCAATACCCAATATTCTTTGCTTGCCGAATCCTCCCGCTGTGGTTCAATTTCAATGGTTGAGAGCATTTTCAAGTCGTGTACACTTACTGCCCACCAGGCCACCCTCGTCATATCCGAACAATCCATTCAGCATGGGAACTCGGAGGTTTTCGCGTGGATTGCGCCAATGGCCAAGGAAAATGCGCGAGGTGACTCGTTGAGAAAAGTTTCGATATATGCTATCAATACTGATTCCCCAGCTATTTTTGACACTTGGAAAAGTGTCTTTTCTGACGCCTTGTGCTCTTATTATCCCAGGAAACATGGAGCCCCTTATTGGGATCTGGAGCTTGCGTGGCAACCATACACAATCATGGATACCCTTATTGAAGAGATAGAGGACCCAGTCAAGCAGGAACGGCTCGCAGATATTTGGAGAGAACAGGCTGCTAAAAACTACTTTGACAAGTCCCAGCTTGGAAATGCATTATTGGCAGTATCCAGAACAACATGCTCCATCCCCCTCGCAAGGGCGCTCATTGAAGTGGGTGCCGATATAAACTTCCAAGATATCCCACCGCCTGAAGTCAAATTGGGGACTTATGCACAAAAAACGGTGAAATCCCCTTTGCATGAAGCAACATTGAAGGCTACATCTCAAGCTGCCACTTTCATCAAGTTCCTCCTTCTGCAGGGAGCAAACCCGGATTTAGATTGCAATACGAAGAATTTGATGTATCCAAACAAGGCAAATCCATCAACAATCAAGACGCCTGGGATGAACAATGGAGCGAAACGGATTGCGAAATGGCTAGGTATGGATTGGAAGGAGTTGGTAAAGTGGGCATCTGAACAGAGGTTGCATTGCTCAAACAATTGAATTTCCTATCAAGTTGAACATGTGCTATATTTAATTCCTCACTAAGCAAGACTCGATCTTCAAGGCAATTCTTTCGGCATTCGGAAGTTAATATCAAAGTTTGACGGCCCGCTGAAGCTATCACGAGCGAGAGCTCAAAATCCTTTTTAATGCCTGTTTGAAGTGTCAGTAAATTACTTCATGGTGTCAAGGCTTCATGGGCTTCTATACATCAAGCTTCTGCCCTTCGATTCCGGGCTGAGCCGGATTCCCCTCATCTAACGATTTTTCTACCAGCCTCAATTTCGATTGCTGAACTTCTTGAACATACTTCTCGCAACAGATCACTGTCAGCCACCTTGCTTTGAAGAGATGCGGTTGAGTTAGAAAAAAGACCAGCAGTCACCTTTTCGATGGAGTTGTTCACAATATAGCGGATCGCGAATACAGGACGGGTTTGACCTATGCGGTGAATCCGGCTGAGTGCTTGAGCTTCAGTCATAGGATTCCATTGCGGCTCAACAATATGCACGTAGTCAGCTGCTGTAAGATCAACACTACAGTCACCATTATGATATCAGATTAGTTCCGCGACTACTGGCACGCCCTGTAGACATCTATTCAACATACCCCTCAGAAATACTACCGATGCTCGCAAGCATGACGGTACAACCGTAGTTGTTTTGAAACTCTTTGAGCGCTAAAGCTCGGTTTCCAAGTGATGTTTGCCCATCGATACGCTGAAAAGTTAACTTGGCCGTCCTCAGGGCGACCTCTATGAGATCAAGCATTCTCGTCCAGCAGCTGAAGATGACGCTGACGATGGAATGAGTCTAAGTTTGCACTTTCTGGTAACCAGGTCCTCCGACTTACCTCTTGGTTGGTGCTTCTTCGCCTCTCAAATGATTCTCCCTTTGCTCCTGTAAAACGTTTCTCATTATTGCCCTGACTTTCGAGGATGGCTGAACATAGCCAGTCTGCCCACCGGCGTCCATCGACTCCGAGGGTTTCTCAGACACATCCGCAGGTTGGCTGTGATCTGATGCGTTCTGAGATACCCCGGGGTCTTCATGAACATCTGTGTGGTCTTTTGAAAGAGTGTGAGTACGCCATAGCTGCACTGCTGGTGGCTTTAGGAGTCTCTCGCCGTGATTACATATCAATCTCAAAACATTGATAACAGACAGCATAGTATTCCAAGATGGGTCATTGCCGCTCTCATCAACTCTGGAACTCATAGCCAAAGCTAGGGCTCTGGATTTGAAGAAGTCATAAAGCTGGCGCTCAGATGACTCCAAATCAATGAAATGCTCTTTCTCAGTCCGGTCAGGTATATTGTTTTGTCCGTGAACATGACGCTTGGTTCTCCGTAAACATGTCGCGTTGATAAGTTTCTTCAACCGCTGGAGCCCTATGGAAAAGCCATGGCTTTCATGGATTGGGATGCGAACCCAGTGAGCAAAGGCCTTTCGGCCAGACTGACCCTCGAATGGGGTAACTCTAAGGAATGATAGCAACGCCCCATAGTCATCCAAGCGGTTTTGAATAGGGGTTCCTGTCAAACACCACCGATACGATGTATGGAGCTGATAAACCGCCTCAAAAGCTTTACTAGTCCAATTCCGTATATGGTGAGCTGTGGCAGTTAGTACAGACATTCCTTTGACAGATGAACACCATTTGAAGAAAGAGAAGGGAAGAAAAAAAAAAGAAAAGAAAAGAAAGATGACCAACCTTCGTCGAGAACAACCCGAGCCCATTTCCGAGCCTCCGAGAAAAGAATGCTACCATTCGGCTGGTCAGACCATTCACGCCGGACAGTCTCATAGGTAGTCAACACTATATCGTGCAAGTGAAACACTGAAGACAAAGTTTGCCTATGGGAGCCGTGATAAACAGCAAAGCTTATTCGCGCAGGACGAAAATGTCTGGGCAGTGGCTCAAATGTCAGTGCGCTATTGAGCGAAAAGAAAGCAGGGGAAAACACCTTTCGATCTGCTGCTGCCATCCGGGAATTGCTAGATTCTATTAGCTTGCACTATTTAACGAATATCTCGGGTGACCATTTACTTGAAGCTGTTGTCACAATGAGCGTAGCCCGGGGACCTATGTTTGTTGAGGCCAGGTTGTCTAAATGATAGGCAATGAGAGCTAGCATGCTCAGCGACTTCCCAAGACCCATTTCCTACTCTGTGTTAGTGGTTTCTCGCATGGCGTGGCTATGGGAACCCACATCAGCTAGTAGTCCGCCACGGAGAGGAGTGGGCGGCGTGTCTCTTCTGACACCGGTGACAACGTGATGGTACCTGTTCGATTAAACTGGGTTTTTCAAGTAAAATTCAATTTCTTCCTGTGTATGTACCTTGTCTCACCACAGCTGTCTCTCACTGCCTCCCATAGACCTGGGAATTTGTTTCCTTCGGAGCTGCCACGCTCTTTCTCCACCATCATAGCCAATGCTTTCAATTGATGCCTAGAACACACTTAATGAAGCGAAATACAATTTCAACAATACCAACTTACTCTCGAAGTGGAGTACTCAAGCGGACACTCTGCTCAACGCGCCTGTATATTTCTGGGCCATCAGCCGAGTCAAAGGTCTTGAGAACCTCTTTCTTTGTGTCAAGGCCAAGTTCCTCTTCACGATCTGCAATCTTCATATCGTCGTGCATGGTAAGATCTTCCAGTTGCGGCATGTCCATGTTAGGAGGTAGGAAGTACTGAGGGTTGTTGTAGGGAACTGTCGGGTCACAACGGATAGGGTGTTGAAGATATAGGCCATCGTGTGAGAGAATCCGTCCCAGTTTGTAAATGTCGTGATGCTTCGCATATATTATAACATGTGCTACAAGACCCTGGCTCCGTAGCCTTGGTTGATAGCCTTGATGATTTTTCACGTGGTTTTCTCCTTTGAGAACCTTCGGAGGTGAAATCAGCGAGGAAAGTGTTAAGTCGCAATCTTGTACAAGCTGACTCAATATGTATGAGTGAAACATTCCTATGTACTTTTTGCAATGGACGTCATAGAGCTTGAAAATACTCCCTGATACTCGCATATCGGTATAGAAGAAATGTGCATCCTTTTCAGAAAAAACATGACCCGAAGCCAGTAGATTGACCTTTGCTAATAAGCACGTTGTTCCCTTCAAATGAGGCCTAAGGACGTGCTCACCATTCCCAAGCATACGTCATAGGACGTTGGAACGTTGCTGCTAGACTGACTGATTTTCGCGTGCTCGATGCACTGAAAAATCCGCGTTTGTGGAGATGCGCAAGCAGACCCAAGGGGCTGACTAGGGCGCTCTCCTAGCCGCGGAAGTTTGATTTCACGGCCGGAGGAGACACCTTCTGAGCTCTCAAGCGCATCCCCTTTCCGCTTAACTGTCCCTTTCTCTGCGTTCTGGAGGTCCAAAGTCATGGCTGAGGATTCGGGGAAGGTCCGAAAACACCATCAACAGGGCTCACGATTCCCCTGAGGATTGGAGTCCTTTCCTTTAGCTGGAAAGCACCGCCCCGTGACAATGCACCTAGTGCAAAATGGGGGTTTGGACCCCCAAGACGTCGATCCCTGATTTGCTGGCGAACAACAGGGATTCGGGCTTGGAAGACTTCCAAAGCTGATACAGCTAGCTGCTAGGGGACGTTGCGTCTATGTATGCCAAGATACAGAATGTTTCAAATGGAACTGGATAAGATACTGCCCGTGGTATCTTTTCGAACGCTACGGGTTATGCGGGAGATCGGCTCCAAGGTTGCGCTGTCCCATGACCGCGTGTTAGTTAGCCAGGGCAGCCGCAACACAGGCGCTACACATCTCTGGCGATGGCAAGCAGTCTCCATTGCCAGTTGACGGTTGAACTGGTTGCCTAGTGCAGATGCCAAGACCCCAATTATTTCAGGTGGGTCAAGTCCACCCAATAATGTTCTACCTAACTATTCTCCGCACATACTAAGCCACGCAAGCTTGCAAGTAATTATTACTACAGAGTAGATGGGTGGCTTATTTGCTCGGCTCACCTTCCGCTAAATTGACACATCTAGGATCCCTCCTACCGCCTTTCCTCCAGAAGAAGAAGGGACAACGACTGTCATTAAGCTATTCTATTGGGTTCAGTGCAGCCTATCATTAGCAGTGACGTAGCCTAAACTCGTGAGTTCAGACATAAAGGTCGGCCCGTGGTATATATCTATCCAGGATGATCCACGACAGCTTGAAGACTATATTACAAAGGTGATACCACCTATGATTGCAAGTGTGAAGGATAAGTATGTACACTAAGATGTTTGACACTACTGGTGGATAACTGGTAATAAAGTGTGAGCGGAAGAGGATACAGGGACCACGGATGCCCCGCTAGTATTAGGGCAATTCAGTATCTATCTATCTATGTGCAGATAGCGCACATCATGCCGTATTTTATTTCCTACTGGAATAAATCTGCAGTGAGATTCCCCCTATATCTATTGATTGTCTGCCAGTAATACTGCTAAGACATCACTGAAATATAGATGACCACCGTCTGGGAAACCCTATGCCGCTACTTCCCTGCCATCCACCAAGCCCGAATGAAGGCCGGTGGCATCAATTCCCTAGTAAACAGCCTATCTAACAGCTTCTTGCTGGATCTGTCAACAAATCTAGTATTCAGTCGTTTCGCTCTCGCTTTCAAAGCAACAGTAAGTCTCGAATTTTACATCATTATTATTACTGCTACTTCATTATATTGATAACCCCCGATCAAATAGGACCGCCCAAACGTCTACAAAACCGTACGATTCAGCGCGTGTCCAACTAGCCTACTGATACCCGATGAAATCGAGTTCAAGCGAGCAACGGCGCCTGGTTCAGAACATCTGGAACTACCGAGCAAGGATCTCCTCGACTGCCACTACCGTCTAGCCCAGATCCTCAACGCCTGTGGTGATGATATGGCTTTCTTACCTTGTAAACACCGGGATCATTGGAAGTACCACATCAGGTGGAATGTCGAGGCAATGCTCGATGGGGATGCTGATCTTAGTGGATATTTGGAGACTGCGCTGTGGTCGGGGTAGAGGTAGAGGGTGATACTATTTGATGCGATATGTAATTCTCAGGTTAATCTGTTGCTATTAAGCTATGCTTTGGTCCAAATTGCGGTCAGTATCAAGTCTCTTGCTCTCATTTATTGTCACACGGTTGGATCCACCTAGAGTCGCCTCCTTTTCCTCCTCTTCCTCTCATTAGTATCAATCATCATCAATCATATGGTTTTACATATCTCGCTGCATTCATGAATGCAATGACTCTTGCTTGATAACTGAGATATTAGAAAGACAGGACATGTAACATGACAATTTTAAAGTAGCAGTAACTTATGTTAATCGACACCGAAGAAGTCCGTATATATCCTCTTCAAGTAAATTGGTCTATAGACCATACTAACATGTCAACAGCTGAACCGAACAGGACTCAAGGCTACACTCATGATTTTTGTATCTTGGTCCCAAGGTATGTGAAGTAATTCAATGTAAGCGTTGATGATAATTTGATAATCCTAGAGGAAATGCATCCATTCATTCAATATGTGTAATGCCATAGTAACAATCGCAAGAGCAATGATAATAATAAAAATGATAATAAGTCCAGCCTATCAAACCCATCCATCCTAATAATATGAACAATCAAAACCCATGCCATAAACATATCGTAACACCATTACGTTCGAAATCAACTGCAAGCAAGCTAGCTAGCTACTCAGCTCACAGCTTAGCAGCCGGCTCGGCCTTGCCCGCCGACGAAATCTCATTGTACAACAAACTCGTGAGGAAATCGGCATAGTCCTCGCCCGTCACCTGGCCGGCAAAGTACCGCGCCGCGAGCTGGAACTTGTTGCCCTGGGGACCCTTGGCGGCCAGACTGTCAGCCTGCTCCTGCAGGAGACGCAGTGCGTATGCCTTGTCGACCTTCTTGCCGTCGGAGGTCGTGATGCCGTGGTGCGTCCATTGCCAGAGCTGACTGCGGGAGACTTCGGCGGTGGCGGCGTCCTCCTGTTCCTTTGTTAGTATACATTCCATAATGTGCGTGAGAAAGAGGGAAGAGATTGAGGCGTACCATCAGGAAGTTGATGGGGATGCAGCCCACACCGCGGAGCCATCCCTCCATGTAGGACAGACCGATGTTCAGGTTCTTGCGGATGCCGTCCTCGGTGATCTTGCCGGGGACGTTGGTGTTCAGGAGATCGTTAGCGGTGATGTGGACGTCCTCGCGACGGACGAACAGCTGGTTGGGAGTGGGCATGTAGGTGTTGAAGATCTCCGAGGCGATGGAAGCCAGAGCAGGGTGGGCAACCCAGGTGCCGTCGTGGCCGGCGCGCACTTCACGTAGCTTGTCGGCGCGCACGCTCTCCATGGCCTTGTCGTTGGCGGTGGGGTCGTTCTTGATGGGGATTTGAGCGGCCATGCCTCCCTGTAAAATTATTAGTATCATCTTTATATAAAACCTTGAGGTTAAGGGGATGGGAACCTACCATAGCATGCACTCCTCTGCGGTGGCAAGTCTTAATCAACAACTTCACATACGCATCCATAAACGGCACGGTCATAGTAACGTCCGAACGATCCGGAAGCACAAAGTTGGGGTGCTTGCGGAACTTCTTGATGAAGGAGAAGATGTAATCCCAACGACCACAGTTCAATCCAGAGCTGTGTTCACGCAACTCGTAGATAATCTCATCCATCTCAAACGCCGCCGAGATGGTCTCGATCAGCACGGTACCACGGATCGTTCCGCGCGGCATGCCAATGTAGTCCTGAGCCAGGTTGAAGACGTCGTTCCACAGACGCGCCTCGAGGTGCGACTCCATCTTGGGGAGGTAGAAGTACGGGCCGAACCCGCGGGCAACGAGCTCCTTGGCATTGTGGTAGAAGTACAGACCGAAGTCGAACAGACTGCCGGAGATGGGGGTGCCGTCGACAGTGAAATGCTTCTCGTCGAGGTGCCAGCCACGAGCGCGAGCAATGAGAGTGGGGAGCACGCGGTCTGTCCGCAGCTTGTATTCCTTGCCACCCTGTGTGAAGTCGACCTGGCGGCGGATGGCGTCGTAGAGGTTGACTTGGCCGTTGATCATGTTTTCCCAGGTGGGTGCGCTAGAATCTGTTTGTTGTTAGATGCTATTCTTAGGAAAAATCTGGGGTGGGAAAGTGGGCATACCCTCGAAATCAGCCATGTATGTCCAGACATCCGAGTTCAACGCGTTGACGACCATCTTGCGATCTGTGGGACCGGTGATTTCCACACGGCGGTCGACGAGACCCGGAGCCGGGGGAGCACCCTTCCAGGCATCGTTCTCACGAATGTGCTTTGTCTCGGGCAGGAAGTCGGGGAGGTGGCCCTTGTCGATCTCGGCCTGGCGGTCAATGCGACGCTGGAGGAGGGCCTTGCGAGTAGGGTTAAAGGTGCGGTGGAGGATGGCGAGGAAGGCACAGGCGTCCTTGGTGAGGATCTTGCGAGCATCCGAGCTCACATTGCCGAGGATGACGACGTCCTTGAGTTGGGTGTCGACTTGCACCATGGTGGAGGATGGATTGAGAGTCTTTATCTTATCGGGAAGTATATGAGGGGGAAAGGGTATACTAGATACTATCCGGACCGGCAGGATAGAAGTACTGAAGATGAGATGATATGAAGAAGGAAGCAGCGAAGAAGACTTCAAGAACAACCAGCACTATTATAAGCTACCAGATGAGGAGGGAGAGCAAGAGAATATATGTTCTACACAGCGACTACGTCAGTCCCACCATTCACTTCACTAACCGCGGTCCATGGGGAGTCCCGATAAGCTGGATTGAACCCAAAATGAGGGCTGCTCCAGAGCTTCCATTCCACGTGACTTTTCCGCGGGAAACCCAGCTGCAATTCGGCCGATAACGGGCGGGGCACGGCGGCTACCGATTCCGACTTGCGGCTTATCGTTCAGGCCGAGTACTTCTTACTCGATACATTCGAGTACTATACTCTCTGTAGTGACCACTATATTAACGATACTATCCTGGAAGGTCTCGAGATGATTCCCGACGTGGGTCGGTACTTGCTGGCTCTGTTGCAGCTGCCCAGATACGCACACACTGCATTGTCCACTCCAGTAGCCACTCACGCAGTCAACCGAGGATGTTGATAAGCTCATAAACTCCCCGCAGGCCCGAGAGCCTTTCCTCCCAACCGCGGTTCGCCGCCATCCTGCTGCCCTGTACTGCTCCTCTCCTCCGTCCGTCCTGGAGCAAGCTTCCTGCGGTCCGGTCATCGCCTACACTTGACCGACTTGTCCCGATTGTGATACGGTGCTTTTTCTGACGCCGTGGAGCTGTATCATTGCTGCAGTGACTCACTCATGGCTGCAAAAATTTCGAACAAGATGAGAATGCCACAGCTACTCTATGTATGCTCGTTCAATTCGCTTACGCACATGCTATACGCCTACTATGAAACAAGGATCAAAAATACATCCAGTCATCGCTTCCACATGTGAACGCATGTGATCGCTGTCAACTCTAACTCCCGCTGCTCTCCCGACCCCAGCTCCCGTCCAGCTCGGGTTGTCACGGATTCCTCTGCAGCCAATCTGTACCGTCCGATCTGGACCAGTCTGGGCAAAACAGGGAAACCAAAATAACAAGGTAACACGGGCTTCTAATGTGCCAGCTGCTGGCCTGTACACGCAGCTCCGTCCATCCGGTTACACCGTCTCAATATAGCGTCGGACCTCCCTATCAATAGTCAGTATCATCATCTTACTGCAGCCAGCTCAGCCACTCACCAATCCGTGACGGCCTCCTCCCACAAGCGCACTTCATGCTCCCGCGTGCCCCCAAAATGCTCCACAAACGCATCGCCAAAGACCTCCCGTGCGACACTGTCTTTGCGCATGAACGCCGTCGTGGCTTCCCGCAGCGACTTGGCTAATCGGATCCCCTTATCGCTTGCCCCGCCCATATCCTCGCCCTTGGACAGCGGCGGAACCGGAATCTCCAGCTTCTTCTCCACACCCCGCCACCCCAATGCAACAACTGCTGCTAGAACAAAATGCGGGTTCGCGTCAGCTCCGGGTACACGCACCTCTAGCCGGGTTGCTTTTGCGCTCGCGGTAGGTGGGGTGATAAGCCGAATCGAGGCCGCCCGATGCTCAAGTCCCCAGGAGACCGTAACCGGCGCCCAGAAGTTCTCCACCAGCCGCTTGTAAGAGTTCACCGTGGGTGCAAACATTGGCATGATATCAGGAAGACCAGTGAGGACCCCGGCTAGGAAATGTCGCCCTAGATCGGAGAGATAAGCCACATCGGGATATGGCGGGTTTGGGTCGGGTGTGTCGCGGATGAACGCATTCTTCCCATCGCTCGAGACCAGTGAGATGTGCATGTGTCCGCTATTCCCGGGTAAACCCTCGCGTGGCTTGGCCATAAAGGTGGGTGTGATGCCGTGCTTGGTGCCGATCGACTTGACGACGTATCTGGCACAGTCAGTTTGATCTTATGTAGCTCGAAGTCACTCACTTGAATAGACCAGCTTTGTCGGCCATCTCTTTGGCCTCTCCGAATTGTAGCGCCTGCTACCGTCAGCAGGGACCATAACGTCACCCAATGCAACCTACCGCCTCATAAACACCGGGACCGCTCTCTGTATGCCAACCCTCGATTTCACAATTGAACTGCTCACACGCGTCGAACACTCCATAATAGTAGTCTTGGTTGTGGATAGGACGGGTCAGACTGTACCCGAACATGCCCTCCGTCAGCGGAGGCAGGGACTCGACGGGGTTCTCCTTGAGGAAGGTTGCCGTGGCCGACGCATTGCGCTCGGGGTTCGAGTGTGTTCCTGGCGCGCGGAACTGGTAGAACTCATACTCCGCTGGGAAACCGTCAGCGAGTCTCAAGAAGAAAATGACGAAAGCGCTTACCCCCCGCCATGGCACGATACCCCGCAGCCTCCGCCTTCCCCAGAGCGGACTTTAATAGCCCCCGCGGACAAGCACAGACCGGCTCATTCGTATCGGGATCCAAAAAGCTAACCAGGAAAAATGGCACATTATTTTCCCAAGGGATTCGGCGGAAACTGCTCAGATCCGGAACTGCCACGAGATCGCGGTACCCGTTCTCCTTGTTGCTGATGGTCAATTCCTTGAAGTATGTGCGGTCATGCATATCCCAGCCAAAGATGACCGAGCAGAAGCCAAAGCCATCAGCTACGATGGAGAGGAACTTCTTCTTGGAGACGAGCTTGCCGCGGAGCATGCCGTCGACGTCGACACCGGCCAGCTTGACCCGGGTGTCATTCTGGAGGACATGGGCGACATTCTCGAGGGTGACTTCGTAAGGTGGGGTGGTAGAGGACATGATGGTGATCGGGTTGTGACACGAGCAGATTGAGGATATACTGCTGGTGGAGAGGACTGACCAGCAGTGAAATTGGGGGGGGGGGGATGAGGGGAATGACGGTGAGGAGGCGAGCGGGACGCAAGGACGTCAGCCACCGCTGCTTATCAGTTGGAGGACCGTCACGGGGCCCGCCATGCTGATACTTGAAGCCACAGTGATTGGGATGTTTGCAGCCCTTATCAGGTGTCTTGTCCAATGATGACAGATACAGAGCTTGATTGACAATGAATGATGAATATTCGACCAATATCAAACCGGCACACGAGCAGATGCAGTGTATGCATGGTGGCCTGCGTGCCTGACAGCTGCCTGCCTTATCGGGATCGCCATTAGATAAGCGGGCTCCACTGTCCCGCATTCCTGCTTCATCATCCCTGCTTCTCTTGCATATCTCTCTGCTCACTTCTTCAGCGTTATTCTCCTTGTTCTCGCTGATACTTGCTCAATTGTCTCTATCCTTAATTGAATCTACTCTATATATCTTAGATATCTCAAGGTATGCCAATCCCATACAATCACCCATACTGCCATCCACTCTACCCCGCACCATCCCCACTATCCACCATTACAGCTAACACAACCCCAGAATCATGGCATCCGCTCCCAGAGGTCGTCTCCAAGGCAAGAATGCCATCATTACCGGTGCAGCTGGGTAAGCTACACGTCTCTAAACCCTCAATATCCCCATCGACCATCCCACTGACCAACCCAGCGGCATCGGCCTTGAAACCAGCATCCTCTTCGCCCGCGAAGGCGCCAACATCCTAATGGCCGACATCTCGGCCCCCGCCCTCGAGAAAGCCCTCGCCAAGGTCAAAGAAGTCGTTCCTACTGCTCCGCGCGTCGAGACCATCAAATGCGACGTCTCCAAGGAATCCGACGTACAAGCCATGGTCGAGTCCCAGGACAGCTGGGGCGGCACCGACGTCATCTTCAACAACGCGGGCATCATGCACGCCGACGATGCCGACGCCGTCGACACCCCCGAGAAGATCTGGGATCTGACGCATAACATCAACGTCAAGGGTGTGTGGTTCGGATGCAAGCATGCTGTGTTGAGTCTGCGTCGTCACAAGAAGACCAAGGGCAGCATCATCAACACGGCGAGTGTGGTAGCCTTGGTGGGAAGTGCTACGCCGCAGTTGGCGTACACGGCTAGTAAGGGTGCTGTGTTGGCGTTGACGCGCGAATTGGCTATTGTGCATGCGAGGGAGGGATTCCGGTTCAATGCGCTGTGTCCGGCGCCGTTGAAGTTGGTCTGCCCCTTTCTTTGATCATAGTGATGGATATGGTTACTGACATGTTGTAGCACCCCCCTTTTGCAAGATTGGCTGGGTGACGACAAGCCCAAGCGCTTCCGGCGGGAGGTGCACTTCCCTACTGGTCGGTTCGGAGAGGCTATTGAGCAGGCTCATGCCGTGGTGTTTTTGGCTAGTGACGAGAGCAGTTTCGTCAATGGTAGTGACTTTGTTGTGGATGGTGGAATGTCCAAGGTATGACACCCATTAATTATCTTTGTTTGGTCAATACTAACTGGATGTGATAGGCGTATGTTACTCCAGAGGGACCGGCCACTGCTGCTCCTCAGAATCTGGGGCATTAGTATAGCCATCCTACGATATATGAATTGAATGATCTTGAAATCCGTCTTAAAAAACCAGTACTACACTCTCAACCACAACAATCAACTTAAGTAAATCAATTCATCTCTAATAATCTATCAAACAAGTCTATAACCATCATCCCCAACACAAGTAAACAAAAATCTATCAATTAAATCTTCTTCAACCCCAACACCCCCTCCTCCCGACTCAACGTCGTAAACCGACTAAACCCCCCAGCCCCCTTCTCCTCATCCACCCCAGTTCTCCCACTCCCACCAACCCCCTGAATAGTATTACTCTCATCTCCCCTCTTCGCCGCCCACCTCCTCACAAAAACCCTCTTAACCCACTTCCACCCCTCCACGCCCCCCAAAAACAGCCCCGCCTCGACAAACACCACCCCCCACTCCCACCCAATCCCGATATGCTTAAACACCACATCATTAATCACAGGGATATACAGCACGGGAAACGTAAGCACGAATCCGATCACAATGCCCCAGAAGAGGTACTTGTTGCGGTAGATATCGGAGAGCCAGCTCGTGTATTTATTCCTGGGTTTGGAAGAGGAGGTAGAGTCATGCATATTGAACAGACTGCGTCGCAAATGCATCATCTCCCAGGCCAGAAGCAGCGCGAACCAGGTCATGCAGACGAAGGTGGTGGCGCGGGCACGGAAGACCGTGTCGCAGGGGGTCGAGTAGTTGCTGTTGCATTCTGTTGCGAGGTTGCCGTCGCCCCAGGCGAAGAGGACGAGGGTGAAGGCGCTGAGGCACAGGGCGGCCATCCAGATGCCGTAGACGAGGGTGTCGATGATGATTTCCGGGGTGAAGATGCCGTTTTTCTGTTCGTCATCCATTATTAGTATATGGTGTTATAGGGTTATGGGGAAAAGGGGGAGAAGGGGAGCATACACTCTGTGGCGGTCTATCCATCACATCACTTGCTGCCATCTCCATTCCCAGTCCGATATCAGGCAGTCCGGACGTAATCATGATAATCCAGAGGATTTCCACCGGTGCGATAGGGAACACACTCTGGCCGTTCTCGTCTTTAAACACCAGTCCGATGAGTAGGGTTAGCGCTAACCCTACGTTCTCTGCCAGTAGATGCAATACGAATTTCTGGATATTGTCGAAGATGCGACGGCCCTCTTCGATACCGTTGATGATGCTTGCGAAGTTGTCGTCTGTTAGGACCAGCTCCGATGCATCTTTCGCCACGTCGCTGCCTGCTTGGCCCATTGCGATCCCCACGTCTGCCCGCTTCAGCGACGGCGAGTCGTTCACTCCGTCGCCTGTCATCGCGGCGTACCGGCCGCGGCGGTGCAACGCCTCGATCATCCGCACTTTGGTGTGTGGGGCACAGCGCGCGATCACGGCGGGGAGGGTAGGCAGGGCGTCGATCTCGGACTCGCTGAGGGAATCGAATTGGCTGGCTGTCATGACGAGGTTGTCGGCCACGTCGCGCGAAAGGAGCTGTGCGTTGGCCGGGATGATGCCGACTTGAGCGGCGATGGCTCGGGCGGTGCCTGGGTGGTCGCCTGTTACCATGTGCACGGAGATGCCGGCGCGGTGGCATTCTTCGATGGCTCCGGCGGTCTCTGGTCGAGGGGGGTCATAGAGCCCGATCAGGCCGGCGAAGGTGAGGTCTTGTTCGACGGTGTCACGGGGTGGGACGTCGGTGAAGGTGGAGGAGCTGGTGCGGTGGGCGAGTGCGAGTACGCGCAGGCCTTCGCGTGCCAGCGCTTCCATGTTTTGAAGGATGGTGTTGCGGATGTCGTCGGTTAGGGGCACGGGTTCGGAGGTGTTGGTGGTCCAGACGATGGATGTGCAGGCTTCGAGGACACGTTCCACAGCACCCTTGGTGAAGGTCACGTCGGTGTCGTCGCGGCGGAAGATAACAGACATCTTTTTGATGGTCGAGTCGAAGGGGTACTCGGCCTGCTGTGTCCAGACGGGCTTGTCACCAGCGGTCCATCTTTCACGGCCCCAGTCGAAGCGCGCTGCGAAGACCTGGATGGCAATGTCGGTGGGCTCGCCACGGGCTTGCCATTGTCCGTTTTCTTCGGAGCGGTGCACGTGGGCCAGGTTGGCCATGGCTGCGACGTCCAGGTAGCGCTGCAGCAGGGCACTGTTTGTCACTATCTCTTGCGGCGTCTTGGTGTCGCCTTCGCTTTCTCCCTCTCCGGGCATGGCGTCGATGACCTTGAGCTCGCCGTCATACGGGTCCAATGGGTCACGAGAGACTCCGACTGAGACTGTACCCAGCCCTGGAACCCAGGCCTTCTTGGCCACCATGCGTCCTTGGGTGAGGGTGCCCGTCTTGTCGGAGCAGATGTTCGACACGGCGCCCAATGCCTCGAGGGAATCCATCTTCCGCACAATCACGTTCCTCTCGACCATTTGTTTCGTGCCCATAGCCATGGTGACCGTCAACACGACCACGAGACAAGCGGGGATCATGGCCAATCCGGTAGCAACTGCGTAGATGATCACTTCCTTGTCATCGCGCATGTCATTGGCGCCCATCACAATGATTGCGAATACTACTGCAATTCCAAACAACAGCAGCGCCAGCTTACTCAATTTCCGCTGAAGTGGTGTCCCCACGTTTATTCCCAGGAACCGACCCACTGCATCTGTGCATGTCAATGTCCAAGCCACCACGTACCACCGCTTCTTGGTCTCGCCTTGAGGACCGCGACGGACGGGCCGGCGCCGCTGGTTGCCATTCTCACGGAGTGCCGCAGCAATCGCACCGATCTCGGTTTTCATGCCAGTGCTAATCACCACGCCGCGCGCGCGGCCCCGGGTGACGGTGGAGGAGCTGTATGCGACATTGAGACGGTCGCCGGGTCCAGTGTCAGCGGGGAAGGTAGTAGTGGATGATTTGGTAACGGGGAGGGATTCGCCAGTAAGAAGGGCTTCGTCTGTTTCAAAGTTCATCGTCTCCACTAGTCTATTTGGTGTTAGATCATTGTCTCATTATGAATGTATCAATGGCGTGGCAAATGTATGACGCATACCGTAAATCAGCCGGAACTGTATCTCCCACTTTCAAATCGACCATATCACCTACGACGATCTCCATAGCGGGAATGGTGCCCGTCTTGCCGTCACGGGTGACGACTCCTGTGGGCGAACTGAGGCCGCGTAGCGAGTCCATGGTCTTCTCGGCCGCGTAGTCCTGGTAGACGCCTACGATGATGTTCAGGGCGATAACGGCCCCGATGACACCGCCTTCGATCCAGGATTCAATGCCGAAACTGACGGCCATGGCGATGATGAGGACCTGAATAGTAGATCATGTTAGCGAGATGGGAAGGCATGATGGTAAAGATTGGGCAACTTACCAGCATCATTGCGTTTGCCACCTGGCGGATGATAATCTTCGCGAGGGAGATGCCCTCGTCCCCTTCGAGTTCGTTGGGTCCCCATTTCTGAAGGCGGGACTTTGCTTCCTGGGTGCTGAGACCTTCTTCTGAGTTGACAGAAAGCTCTTGCAAGACGGAAGCATAGGGAAGGGTGTGGGCGGGTGCGGAGAGGGGAGAGTGGGAGGGGGTGGAGGCAGTCTGAGACTGTTTCTCAGTGCCCATATTGGGGTATCTGTGTGTTGTTTCTGTGTCTGTGTGTAATGCTTGGGGTTTCTCTACTAAAGGTAGGAAATCACGGAGGTGTCATGTAGAATGTATCCTCTATGGAATGAGAGTCCATACACGTGAGGCGAAGCAGTGAATTGATCTGATCTGATCTGTTCTAGATCCTGATTCTTGCTTATTTCTAATTCTAAACTCTCTCTTCGACATGATCCCGGGGAATTCATCCTTCTTATAAGAGTTTCTGTATCGCCGGACCTGGAAGTAGTCTTGGCATAGAGTATAGACACCCAAGGCCGAGCAGAACTGCCCAGCCCGCCAAGCGCCAATCACAGAACCCCCGGAAGCGATGCCTTGGCGCCAACCTTGGGCGCGAAGTCGGCGAGTCTCGCCTCTTTCGGGATTATGACGCATACGACCACAGCATTCCGCCACGTGAGCCAGTACGAGCATCGAGACCCGAGTTCGAGCGATATGATTGGTGCAGCGGCCGAGTGGCCCCAGCGGAAACGCCAAGGTGTTCCGGAGCGCGGAGACTTGGCGCCTCCTGAGGCAATAATACAGACTGCACCGCAGGGTGACTGTCCGGTGGCCTTGGCGTGCTGCTGCGCGGGGGTCTGAGGGCCACTCGCTGGCTCAACTTTAAATGCAGCCGTCTCTGTCCTCGGAGACCTGCCCCAATTCCCCCGCCGGTGATGGATCCCATTCCCAGTATCCCCCCATGCAACCATCCCCACCACCTTACCCCTGCTGACGCTGCCGATGCTGCTTTGGAAGCTGTCGTGAGGAGTGAGTCGCTGGCTTCGAGCCGATTTATCCGACGCGTCATCTCCTGAGCGCAGTTGACCTATCGATCTTATCTTTGTTGTTGTTCCTCCGTATACTTCCGATGGCTGGGGATACGCACCACACCGGCATAGTGGGTGTCATTGTAGGTGCAGTGGTGTTGTTTGTGGCCTTGAGTACGATCCCATTGTGAGTTCTAGTGTTCCAGTGTCCCCTATTGGAGGCTCAGCTGCTGCATGCATGCCCTGGTGGAGGATGCTGCATGCTGGTTGAATTCCATTGTTTGGATGTATCTAACCTGACAGTATCGTGCTGTACCATCATCGTCGACGAGCAACTGCCAGACGCAGTAGCGAACTCCGCAACCTCACCGATGGCGGCATAATGCGGCAGGTATCGGTCGATCGATGGCTGGACGAGCAGACACACGCGAGCTGCGAGGATCGGTTATACGCTCAGGAATCCTGGTAAGGCTGTTCTCCTTTGGGTGGCGCCAACTCTTGGCCGAGATGCGGGGACACATTGCTGGTAGCGGTCTTGGCCGGACTTGCGTTCCATAGAACTGATGCATGGCTTCCTTGGTAGTCCCATCTGTCTGTCAACCCTAGCAGCGTCCCAAGATACCCTTCCTTTTCCCGAGCCGGCCTGGGTCGCACCATCACCCCACGACGAGCCCAACCTGCATGACACAATGGAGGCCGATCGAGTGTCTGGGAGGAGAAACATCCTGGTCCTCAACCGTTGTCACCATGTCTTCCATGCGTCCTGTCTCGCATCATGGTTCGAATACCATCAGTATAGATGCCCGATTTGTCAGACATCATATTTCATCGAATAGCCCGCTACAACATTGCAGATAGTCAGCGACCGCAATGGAAAGTCTTTGTTCCCGCGTATATCTTCTGCCAAGACTAGTGCTATGGTTGGCAAACTCTAAGTCTGTTCATGTCCATTTGACTCGTTCGAACAGGGTCGTCACCATGACCACGATGTCACTTCAGAACCAAGCATAATCGTTGTGCATGGCAGGCCCTGAATGAGTGCGTTAATGTACGACCACTAGCTGCATGGCTAGAGCGTAGCATATGTTGGCAGTCGGGGAAGACCCCACGATTTGGCTAGGATCCTCTTCCCGAAACTTTCTAGAACACACGTCAGGCAGATCCCCGGGCTATTCTAGCCTTATCATCGTTGCCACTGGGATGCAGACATCCTATCAACTCACTTCAGCGTCTAACCGAGTGCACTACTGTGCGCACAATGGCCTTCGTCCGTGCGCAAATGGATCGCCTCCCTGGATAATCTCGTCAAACCGTGCGCTGACTCGGCTGTAGTTGAGCCCGTAGCGACCAAGCTCGCGCAGCCGAAATGACACCCAGTCTTGGTATATTCTGTCGGACGTGGCAATTCCCGCGATGAAGAGAGGCCACGTGATGCGCACCATCAAGTGCGGTCTGCTGCGATGTAGCTTCAAAGAAAGTTCCAGAACCTGGGAAACGGCATCATGCAGGGTCATCATCCCTGCACCCTGCAGTGCTTTGGCCAGGGTGTCTTTGAAGCACAGGTGAAAGTACACAATTGTGCCGTAGTAAGTAATGGCTGCCCAAAAGATCGTTTCCATCACGCGACGTCCGTCACCTACGACTTCACACGAGGGCGCAGACTTGGCGGAACTCAACAAGGTGTCGAATTCCTGATCAGTGGATTAGTCGCTGTCGGCCACCCATGTGCAGACATGACAGGTCATCTGCAGGGATGAGACGGATACTTACATCAGATAATACGTTGAGTTCATTAATGATCTCAAGGCCCGAGTTGATTGAAGGATTTCCTTGCCGAAATAACTCCGTGATCTTGAATTGCAGTACATGACTTCGATGATACAACGATAGCCCCGGCATATTCTCCATATCATCCAATTGGGCGGTGGTGGGGTAGGAATCGCCCCAGAATCGAGACGGGGACTGCCTGCCAATCCTATACAGCTCAGAAAGACTCAAACCCGCACTTCCTGCTTCGTCTTGCATGAAAAACCGGAACAGGTCGGTGTCGAGCCTGGCAGCACCTGGGCCAGAGAGCAAAGCGCCCGGTGTGAAAAAGTACAGAGTCCAAAGCAGAAAAAGAGGGACCGCTGTATGTCGAAGTCTGTCTTTGGACAAATCCGCAGTCTGTTGCAGCACAGGGCTCTCGCATGCGCTCATGCTCTGGGCCTCATCTGCGACATTACATAGTGCAGCCGGCGAACCTGTCTCTGCATTTGCGACATTTGGAGGCTCTAGTTGTTTGAGTGACGGGACGACATGGTTGAAGAGTAGACTCTCGATCCCGCGGATGTGAATATTAATTCCAGCAGTCCCGCTGCCGAATCGGTTCTCATAATCAATCATCATCCACAAGGTAATGAAGATGGCTTCGATTTGCGCCGGGGACTTGACGTCTGGTTTCAGCGCTTCCCGAAGACCAGAGAGAGCCCGGCCATAGTGCAACCTACTGTCCATGTCGGACAAACTCTCGATGGTACATTGTCCGTCCGTCTTGTCCCGGTCGTACAAACGCGACCGATTGATCTCACTCGACGTAGTCGCCAACATCATGCTCATAACCATGGGCTCTTTGACTGCAATCTTATGGTATGCATAAGACACGGTAGACCACGGCCAATGCTTACCAAGGATCACGACCAGCGCAGAATCCTGAAGATAGTTCAAACACGAGCGATCAAAGTCCGATATAACCAACGAATTGGCCGCTTGGATGCTGTTCCCAGCACCACCAGTGGGCGATAAAGAACGCGCAGGAGACGGGACAGGCTGACAGACCATCTGCGCTTCCACCGGGCGAGTGTCTCTTCCGAGCCTTTTAGCAGGACCCCGGGGGATGGGGCCGCCCTTCCACTCACATACGATCCGGGCCGCAGTGCAACGCCGGCATTGTGGCTCCTGCTGGCCAGGAACGAATAGTTTCTCTTCGTCGCATTTGACCTTGCGAATTCTACACGTGCGACAACCTGCGGTGCAGTAAGTCCGACCATTCTTAAAAAGAAACCCCGAAAAAAGCAAACCTAGACAATTGGCGTAAGACAGAACTGGTGGGGATCCTTACCGGTCTTGGACCGAGTCCTCCTGCCGAGCCCATGCATCGTCTATCGGTTCTATCGCGTGCTTGCCGTTGCTCCACTTACTCGCGGTGTGCCTGTCGGGGAGGAATGTCCTGTCAGACGACATGTAACCTGGTCAAAAGCAGGGCCATTAGAGACTCCGAGCCGAGACAAACCAACCAGGAGGACATCGAAAGGAGAGGGGGGAAGAGAAAATGCGGAGAATTGAATCGCCAACCGATGCTCTTTTTTGCCCTCCTGCCGCCATTCCTGCCGAGCCTCGCCCGCCGATTGGCTGCATCGGCACCGGTCATGTGACCTCGGTATCGGCAATTATGATGGCTTCAACTGTACCAAATACAGTAGTAGATAGTCTAGTAGTAGATAAGTCACTTCCTATCACTTATCAATTGTAGATACCGATAGCCCCCTCTCGGATCTCCGCAATCAATGCGGAGAACCATCTCCACCATGCACGATCCAGCTATAAAATGCCGTGCATGCCAGTCTCCAACTCCGGCACCTGATTAATACTATCAAACCCTACCTAGTACTTAGTACACATACACCAACCACAACCATGCAGCTCGAAGCAACACAACAACGCTTCATCGCCAGCGTCGAAGAAGCCCTCCACAAACATGCCTCCGAGCTAGAAGACATCAACAAGAAGGCAAGCCCCAACACACACCCACGCATACCTCACATACCTACTAACTAACCAACCCCAGATCTGGTCCACCCCGGAACTAGCCTACACAGAACACCAAGCCCACGACAACATCTGCACCCTTTTCGAAACCCTCCAACGTACCAACCCATCCTACCGCATCCAACGCTCCGCCTACGACCTCCCAACCGCCTTCGAAGTAACCTACACGCACGGCAGCAGCAGCACCGGCGGCCGCACCATCGTCTTCAACGCCGAATACGACGCCCTCCCCAACATCGGGCACGCCTGCGGCCACAACCTCATCGCAACAAGCTCCATCGCCGCCTTCATCGCCACCTGCGAAGCCCTCAAACACCAAGCCCCAGAGGACTCCAACTACATCATCCGCCTCCTCGGCACCCCCGCCGAAGAATCCGGCGGCGGGAAAGTCCGTCTCCTCGAAAATGGCGCCTACAAGGATGTTGACGCCTGCCTAATGGTCCACCCTATCCCCATGGCCCCGGGCCATCCGGAACTACTCAGCTTGGCCACAGTACTACCCGGTGGGTTTCTAGCGAATGACAAAGTCACCGTGACGTTCACGGGCAAGCCGGCGCATGCGGCCGCAGCGCCATGGGAGGGCGTGAATGCATTGGATGCGGTGGTCGCGGCGTATGTGAATATCTCGCTGTTGAGGCAGCAGATTCTGCCCACTCAGAGGATACATGGTGTCGTGGCTAGTGGGGGGGATAGGCCGAATGTGATTCCTATGTCGGCGTCGGTGGATTATTATATTCGCTCGCCGACGAAGAAGGGCTTGAAGGCGCTGACGGAAAAGGTGGTTAAGTGTTTTGAGGCGGCCGCGTTGGCGACGGGGTGTGGGGTCGAGTTTGAGTGGTGAGTAAACCTGTTCACCCTGCACTAACTATATGATACTCGTTTGTTGCTAATGCTTGGTGGGGTAGGGGTGTCTCGTACGACGACCTCAAAACTAACAATCCTATATGCGAGAGCTACGTCTCTGTTATGCGCGCTATGGGTCACCATACGGTGATGAATAACGCTGGGCAGTCTGGTAAACTTACTGGCGCGTCTACTGATATGGGTACGTCAACCCACAACATCCACATCATAGTCCTAGATTCAGGTTGATTAACGATGGTACTTATAGGAAACGTCTCCTACGCCCTCCCCGGCTTCCACGGCCTCTTCACCATCCCCACAGACGGCGTCAATCATACCCCGGGTTTCACCAACGGTGCTGGTTCCCCCGAGGCGCATCAGCGCTGTCTGGCCTGTGCGGCGGGGATGGCTGTTGTGGCGTGCCAGATTGTGACGGATGATGAGTTTGCGAGGAGGGTGAAGGAGGATTTTGAGGTCGAGGTGGAGGAGTAAATGATTCAGCTTTTATGATGGATTAGGGTGACTATGATGTTTATTGCAAGAATATGAATATGTCATGATATGATGATTACTGGATTTTGAGTGTTTGTGTA